AACGATACCAAAGCGAGGCTAAGCTAGCCACCAGCTTATAGATTTGTTAGAGCCAGGGAAGATGAAGGTTATGCTAAAATTAAAGAGAAAATAATTTTAATAAACAGATTAACAGAATATCACACACATAAAAAGACAAAATATTGTACTGTTAGGAAGGATTTTTTCATATGTTTACTTTATCTAATGTCTGCATGTACATATTGGGTGTTAAAATTCATCCATCTACTAACTCCACAAAAATAATATTAATTATGATCAATGAAGAACATTAGGCAAATAAGGGCCCAATTTGCGTGTTTGGGGGCAGGGTGCTTTGACTTTATATGTATAAATAATGATAAATATATACCAACCAGAACAGAAAGTGCTATCCCTGGATTCTATGGAGGACATGGAAAGTTTACCACTGAATATACTTCCTATTGCACTGAACATACAGGGATGTTTCATGCTAGTTTTTTTAACACGTGAAAGGCTATACATGGCGGTCATTATATATTTTTGGTGGAGGAGAACCCAGGGAAAGAACCAGGCATTGACCCACGGTAAACTACTTGCAAAGTCCAACGCATATCACGTTGGTCGAGACTCTACCAATAGTTTTATTTGGTACTAACGTAATTTTTCAGCACATGATAGACGATACTTGTTCATTTGCATAATTTGGAGAAAGGCGATCGTTGAAAGACCCAGCAGAATAGAGGGTGAACAGACCACTGCCCGAGACCTTAGTTTTGAAAACTAAAGGTTCCTACGATGCTGAAAATGCCGTCGAGAATAACACCGACTCAAGGGAAGCCACTGTTTAGGCATTTTCCTATATCCATGTTGGCAAAGCCAAGACTATGTGTCTGTGACCTAATAAACTGAATCTCAGTTAATAAAATGTTATCACATTAGTCACATCGACCTTGTTTGTTATAAGGCTTTTACAAACAGAAATGCATACAATCGGTAAGTTTGATAATTTTGACGTGAACAGTGTTTGATAAAGAAACGCAGCACACAGTTAAACCAAATAATGAAGTGTATAATTTATGTCACAGTGACTCCTTTTGTGCCTAATATAACCTCATCAAGATAACCTCACTACCATATTTAATAATTACAGGTGTAACTGTACGTATACAGTATGCAAGAAAAAAAAATTGTGGTCATGATCTAAACGCAAACGTTTAACCTAAGCTAGTAAAATGTGAAATCTAGGTCACAGTAACTCTTTTGTTGAATGGTTGGTACTGGCAGCAATGAATACAGTTGGATAGTTTGATGATTCTGTATCGTGAACATAGCTCTAGAACATAACTTAAAACACACATTTTAACCACAATCATTAAAACGTGAAATATGGGTCAGAGTGTGCTACTTTTGTGATTAAGGTGCATTGCTCTTCAGGATGCATCATCTCGTTTCATGATTCCAGGTATAACAGTATTTACACGCTAAACAAAAAATCAAAACGCACAAAAACTTGCGCAGAAACTAATGTCCCTGCACATATAAAGTTACTTTCCCCATTTCGCCACTTTCTTTTCGAAGTGGCAAGCATCGGCAATGTAAGTCTTTTCTGTGTAAGAAATATTTTTACGGGGTTTGGTCTTTTTTTTAAAAAAAATAATTATTGCCTTTGCAAGTTGTTCTTCGGTTCTTGTATTTTTAGTTTACTGCAGTCTTGTCCGGTCCTTTATGTCTTCTAGTCTGGTCTCTACCGTTGGTTGGTCCGTATGTTTAGTCTGGGGTGGGTTTGACCGGTTAGGAGGATAGACAGGGATGGGTTGGGGAGTGTCATGATTTTGTTGGGGTTAGTATGGAGTTAATTGTAGTGCTGGGTTGGTTATCTGATTGGTTATATGGCGGGTTATTGGGTCGGGTGTGATGGGTTCTTAGTGGTTTGTCTCGGTGAGAGGACAGGCTAATTATTGGGTTTGGCTGAGATGGGTAGGTTATTTTTGGTGTTTTTAGTCAAGTGTGTGTAGCGATCTGTGCGGTGGTGAAACGTCTGGTTCCCCTGTAAGTTCAGGTTTATATGGAGGAGATTAAGTTTATAGCTTGTAGGATGTTTTTGTGTGTTAGTTGTAGATTTTTGATGGGGTCTTGGTTGAGAAAGTGCAGGAAGGTTTCCGGAGCTCCTAACCGTCAATGGTATTTTTGGAAGTCAGTTCGGTGATGTAGGTTGTAATTGCAGTGATTGAAGATGTGTTCCACTATTTCCGGTTCCTGGCAGTATGGGCAATTTTGGTTATTGTCTCTTCGTTCTGGTATGTGTTTCCCGTAGCTGGTTTGTAGTAGTGTTTTTCAAAGCATGAGTCAGTTTATTGTATGTTGTTCGTTTTTATCAGTTTTTATTGTATTGGTGGTGTCCTTTCTGGAGACTTTGTTTAAGATTAGAGTTTCCTGCCTTTGCGTGTGTTATTCCATGGTGTTTGCCATTTTTGATCACTGGCGGTTAGTACCTGGCTGTAGAGTTCCTGTGTGCTATACGGCAGGTGTTGGATGGAAGCTTTTAATAAGCTGTTTTGCTTCCATGTCGAATTATCGTGCTGTTATGTCGACTCCATACATTTCCTTAGGACGATATCAAAGGTTGAAGATGTATAATCTCATCTTCTTATCATATTTAGATTATCGTTTTCTAGATGATCTACAACGGCATTATTGCCCGGATCGAGCCAATAAAAATAATAAAGTAAAATATTAAATTTATGGATGGAAAAATAGAGATCTGAGCAGAGATATAGAATAGAACACGAGCCCACATATGTAAAATATAAAAATATAATCAATTGCATACACAAAACGAAATTGAATATGACATTTGAAGGATTCGCTTTCTCTAAGAAAAAGAGTTACAAAATTTATGCGAAATTCAAATAGCCGTTTTTATTTTTACAACGATAAAACTTATTTCACCATATAATAGAGTGATTGTTCTAACTCAAATTTACGGGTTGTCAGAGAGACCTGATTGCTTCAGGTCTTTCCCAAATGAATGTTGGTGATAGTCTCTCTCTCTCTCTCTCTCTCTCTCTCTCTCTCTCTCTCTCTCTCTCTCTCTCTCTCTCTCTCTCTCTCTCTCTCTCTCTCTCTCTCTCTCCGGGTCATCAGCCGTTTTGGTTGAAGACTGTGCTCTTTTCGACTGTGCAGTATAGGAAGGAACTACAATTTCCCTTCAAATAAAATATAATACCAATCCTAAATGCACGTGAGTTTTTTTTTCCCATTCTGGAATCGAACAATATCCCCACTCTTTTTACGCCAGCTATTGTCGTATTTCAACCTGATACTAATCCACATACGACATATTAACGTGAATTTATGTATTATCTAGCTGCTTCTCGGATATCTACAGGAACTATGACATAATTAGATCTCTTAGATAAACTTTTACTCTTCTCTATGGGCTATATATCACTGTCTGAAATTATGACAGTCGACATACGTTCTAATGCTAACACCATCGATTCTCGCTTGAAAAGAATTTACAACTTATTTACACAAACGAATTAATGGATTTCACTCCTTGTCCTACGTAAATCTACTAATTACATTTCCAGACGTATAAAAAAAATCACGAACTGCCAAATTATTGCGAGCCTATTCCATGCATCAGTCTTAATGGTTCAGTGTCACGCTGACTACGACATAATATACTGCGAAATTATCTCTACTAAAGTTTGCACCATTATAGACAGAGACTGTACATACGTACGTGTGTACATGCGTGCGTGCATGCATACATACATATATACGTACATACATTTGCTAATACCGACAACAGGGATAGTACAACTTACCTCTACTTTGCTGAGGAGAGCTAAAATTTAGAGCTGACTACATTTTTGTGTTCTCACTACACTTTGTCATTATCATCAATCCGCCGCTTTAATAAAATAATGTTGGGTGACTGGGTGACAATTGAATATAATAGATTCTTGTTTCATATTCACCCTATATGAACATTACAAGGTTCTTTGGATCCAACTCTCAACAGTTTTAAGAGCCAACAATATTGTCCCTTCATCTGTTTAATAATTTCCTCTGATAGCCTGTTTCATCAAGATCGATTCTTTACCTATTAGGAAGTTGTCTGGATTGAGTAAAATATGAGAAAAAGTACATTTTCTGCAATCGTTCCTATTAAACGTTTTTGTGAACTTTTATTATATTGCATATTCCCCGTACATACCTACTCATCATCTATAACTACAATACCTCAGGTTACAATTATCATTCTTCCCCCTCCCCATGTAATTAAATCTACTTTATAAGACACTTTTGTATAACGGACATCAACCCTACCCTCCACTTATCTGCCACTGAAAACATTATTTATAGTCGTTCCAAATTCATATTGTTTCTTGGGAGTTTTAACTTTCGAAATAAAGAGAAGACAAAAAAACCTCTTCAAACCCGTATGAACTAAACAGATTTGGATGACTGAAAAATATAAAAAAAATGCAGATTAGTTTTCCCATTTCTTTACAGTTTAACGCGTCTTAGATTTGTAATAATAAGACTTAAAATGGCGCATATGAAGTAGTCTCTCATTGACTGATGGGATATGGAAGCTTCAAGAAGAATTTTATGACTTCCCCATTGGCTGCATGAGAACATGTAAATTAAATGTCGTGACTTGCAAGTCGAAAATCAATAGTGTATGTTGTCATATGGGGTCTATTGCAAAATACAGCCGAAATTTACAGTGTATATAAGGAGAATGTTAATTATTCAGTCTCATTATGATTCCATGAGGTGTTCCTGATGTAAGGCTGCAGACATATTTTATGTTGTACTTAAATATTTTTCGAGAGGAAAAACATTTGTTTGGACTATTCAGTAGTAACAGAAAGTGCTTATTATTTGGACAAGAATATTATTCGGGAACTGTTATAAATTATTCGAAAGAATAATGACAACACCATCTATACATCACGTTTCTTGGAGGACCATATTACTCTTCCGGTATTGAAATTATATGGGACTTTTCATTCGTTTAGGACCACACCGGTGGCCTAGTGGCTAGAGCATCCGCCTCGGATGCGGACGGTCGTGGGTTAGATCCCTGGCCGAGTCCTACCAAAGACTTACATAAATGATTCTAACAGCTGCCTTGCTCGGCGCTCAGCATTAAGAGGTTATGGTTAGGACTGGTCGGACTGGTGTGAGGATAATGTGACAGAATCGGACATCATGTTACATTTCTGCGACATGATGCCCAGTGCTAGACATAAGTATAAACTGCCACACTGCAGACATCGTAGCGATTAGTACTAATATTAGTACCTTAGTCCTTTTGTGGACACAGTACTAACATGAGTCTATGTGTGTTACTGGAGCAGTCGGGTGTGATTCACATCCGGCTCTTTTTAGCCTAATATTAATAATTTTTAATATGTTTTTTTTATATATTATGAAATGAATTGAGTAGTCTTCTTATTTAATACTGGAATAATCGCAAATCAGTGTAGAAATAGTGGTAAAATCTCGTTTACCTTTCTTATCCGATATTTTCGTTTTGATCGTCCGCCACATTAGTTCAAATAATGCCCATTTCCGTTCTCAGCCTCGTTTGTTTGTGTCATATAAGGACGTTAATGCCTTATTTGGAAACGTAAACAGATCGTAGTAAAAAATATGGCGCGGTTTGAGTCGGAAATTCTGCGCATTAAAGGTAAATACGGTTTACTGGTAACTTTGAAATTCCACCAAGAAGCAATTATTTTCTCAACAAAAAGCGTATTCCGCAATTTATGCAAGTATCCATTCTCCATCTTCTCGCGTTATGTCATTCAACAACGAATACCATAGCGTAGAATATACATATATAGTCTGACAAGCCTTATAGAATCAGTACACAATTAATAAAATCCGGTTCAGTACCCTGTAGTCCCAGTCTATTTTTAGATCACTTTTTCAGGTCTAAATTTGGTGGTGATACTAGAGTCAGATTTTGGCATTCTTGGTAAGGATTTAAAGGCAATTGTTTATTCTTTAAAATGTGAGCTTATGGTGTGGTTGTCTGTGTGTATTTCGGCGACAGTGCACATTGAGTAATAAGGTCATGGTGATGATCCGGAAGTGAATTCTGTGTTCCGTTGCCTGGTGTTTTGTTTACAATTCAGCCTCTCAAAAAAATGCAGGTCAACCCTTGACAAGAACTAAACCTTAAAGTCATCTTTGAAGGTATTTTAGATTAACATATGATTTGTATTGATTGTCACACAGTGGAAAGTTCAGTACTGAGAAACAAATGTAGAGAATATATAGTGAAATTAATTGTGTACTATGGCCTTATGTAGAAAAGGAGTCACGGCGAGAGTCTCGCGTTATCTGTCATGGTGGACACGGTGAGGTTAGCATAACTATGCCAATTTATTTTACCGTGTAAGGGCTTAATAAATTCAAAAAAAGCCAAACTTCTTTGACAAAATGATTATACTTATTGAGTTGATTTCTAAAGTATTTGTGTTTCTGACTTAGGTGAGGATTTTTTTGTGTGCTCCATTACATTATATGGGATCAGTTCGTAGCCTCAACCACAACAAAACAAGTTGAGGCTACAAGTTGAGGCTACGACATCGTAGCTACGTAGCGATATGACTGCAAAATTTAGTGTTAGGACTATGTCGGACTGGTGTGAGGATGTGACAGATTGATGCTAGGCATCAATATAAACTGCCACACTGCAGACATCGTAGCGATATGACTACAAAATTGTTAATACTACATTAAAAAGTCCAAATTACAAATTACAAATCATTTATTTAGGACTTTCAAAGACTTTGTAACGAAACATTTTGATTTGCTTTATTATACTGCAAGTTCTTTTCACTTTTTTATTTTATCACTTTAATAATTAAATTGTTTCTTGAGTTTTACAAAACATAGTTTTGTGTCTTTTCTGTTAGCTTTGTGACCTTAGAGTCGTAACGACACACACACACACACACACACACACACACACACACACAATCAAACTGAGTAAATCTACAAACATTCTGCATAAATAACAGGTAGCATGAAAAGGTAAATAGGCCAGTGATTACACTTCTCGCTGCTTACGTCTCTCATGGGCACATTTTCGTCGAAATTCAACCATTACTCATGTTCTTATTTACTATCTGTGCCTCTTCACTGTGTTTTGGCATGCCTGTCTGTCCAAAGTCCACTACTCATCCAGTCGTTTACATGTATTTTCGTATCCATACATGTAACCTACAATAACCACGTTTCCACATTGCTATAAAAGCACTGAAACTATGTGCTAAAAGATGAATTCAAAAGATGAAGAAAAATATAATAAGATGAAGAATAAAATATAATAACTACCATATTGTGAATTCTACGCATTGAATGAAGCACGCTGTCCGTAAATTGTAAGCAAACTTGTTTTAATACATAAAGAATCAGGGATGGTCCTGGCTTTCGAAAAGTTATCACCAAAAAATGTCGCCAACCTCTGTCAGAGGGTCCAATGTCAGAACGGGTCATGGGGATAATCTTAGGTATTTTTGTCACTCTATATGACCTTTTCCTTAATATTATTTTGTTTGTTTTTTTTTTTTTACATCTAGCTCGCGTCGAGTACCTGTGGAATATCTAAGAGGGAGACGTTAGTGAGACTGACAGTGCAGTCGGAATTGACAACATGCAGTCGATATAGAAAAGAGCGATAGAAGAAAAGGAGAAGGATGAGGAAAGTGATCTAGAGGAGGAAATAGAGGAGGAAGAGAAGAAACTTGGAGAAAGTCATGGAGGACGAGAGCGAATTCGAACATAGAGAGGGATACGTAGTTGATTATAACACAAGGACAAGTGGAAATCTCTCACAATACGAATCCAATGATGCGATAGGCTAGAAAAGGGTCAAGCTGAAGAAGTGTATTTTGGGACATTCGAATTATTGACCATTTGTAATTAAATTGTTATTATTGAACTTCACCCTTTTTTGTATCTTTTATCATTTAACCGTCGGCATTGCTGACTGGGGGCTCGGTGCTGTACATCTAGCTTTCTCTAAATCAACTTCCAAATGAAAATCACCACACCCCCAATCCCCACTACCAAAACCTCACAGTGGGGTAACCTTTTACATATTACTTTATTGACAAGCAATACATCGATAATATTTCAAAATAAATCATTATATGACTGTTTTGTACTACTTCCATGGTCTTTGCATCCGGCATCACCGTTAGTGCTTAGGTATGACTGGTGTCACCTGAAAAAAAAATGATTTATCAAATGTAAAATATCTACTTTCCTTATGTCTAAAGTCTCTCTCTCACCCCCTCTCGCTATCTCTCTCATTTGTTAATAGAAACATCAGGTATTAAAGCAAATCTAAATTACGCATAATATTTTACAAACAATAGTTTTGTAAAGAAATTAAGTTGATGACATTTTAATACCAAAATCCCATGATCGTACTTTGCAATGTAAGATTAAGGGATGTGTATAATGCTACCATCGATTTCATGCATTTAGGAATTAAATGGCCCCTTCCTCCTTCCTTTTATGGATAGCTTCACAATGTACATATCCGTCAACTAGGAGTTCAGAAATTTATTTATTTTTTTTTTATCGCACATTAGGCTAATGCTTTGCTTTTAGTGAATTGCTTCATAAATGCCAAGAGTGATCACTGAATGCTGTCAATTTTTTTTCTTCACGACAAGCAAACTAGGATCTCCATTTATATCAATGAAACTTACAAGAGTCAACACATTGGATTAATGTACCATATATATATATATATATATATATATATATATATATATATATATATATATATATATATATATATATATATATATATATATATATATATATATACGTTATTAAATTAAAAAAGAAATGAAGAAACATATCGCGGAGCATTTGTGCCCTTCCCCCCAACAAAAATTAATTCGTAATAAATATGCTGTTTAGTAAACAGTGTTGTATGTATATACGAGATAACAGTAAGGAAATAAGGTGGGATCTAAAAGGTGGTAAATTCTTATCACAAGCATGGTAGCTTGAGACCACATATGATCTGTTACCCATTTTTAGGCATTAATTGTTAGTTATAACAAAAATGGGCATGGATTATTTATCAATCAATTTCTAGTGCTTTTACTCATTAAAGGAGTATGTCGAAAGCTTGAGTGTAACCTTTATTTATTGCAAAGTTTTGACACAGCTGACCAGACTATCAAATGGGGCACGTGTGTGAATGAGGGTGTGTGCGTGTGTTTTGGGTGGGAATAACGCACTCCACAGGGAGAAACGGCGTGTCCTTTGAGAATTTCACATGTATTGGACCCGAAAAATCGGTTAATATTTAGTGAAAGGGATACTTATTATTATGCTGCCAAAGAATTCCCGATGGTAGATCCCCATCTGCGTTTTCAGATTCTATCTCCCAGCTTGGTTTGTGAAAATATTTATTTTTTGCATGACACGCTAGAATACGATATTAAATTTATTCAGCGACTATTACAATTCTTTGGAAATCTTTCTGTACATTTAAAACTTAAACACATATGAGCACTTTTCGTTGGAACGTATTCGAAATTCTATTCGGACTATTGGAATTTAAATGACTTTGGAAATTGGAATTCATTCACCATGCTTTAATTGAATTTAATTATTTTACTCCTGTATTTTGAAAAATAAATTATTCTCAATTACGTAAAATTTGTTTGTTTTGCTATTTTTTGTTGCGTAGTTTAAGTCCCCGGAATCGTAACACTGGTCTTGATATCTCAGAACATCTGCTTTAACTTCGAATCATATCTCCGCCGCGGACGCTCGACTTTCCAGCTGTCGAGACATTTTCAGGAACTTTTTGACCGGTTCATCATGATGTGGTGTTGCACTTGAAGCATTACTACCATCACTATATATAGATGATGTTTGACTGTCATGTATAACACCAGGCTGTGTTATCTGATGAATTTGCACTAAATCCATAATGCTCTTAATTTTGTTGACTTACTCTTAGGATGAGATAATAAACACCCATCGTCTGACTTGCATTTATCCATGATAAAAGTTGCACTTTTGACAGTATAAAATTCTGATTGAGAT